GGTTATATTAGTCTGACTACCAAGCCCTGTCACTGACTTGTGTAATGGTAGGATTATATAAGTCCGACTACCAGGCCCTGTCACTGACTTGTGCAATGGTGGGATAACATAAGTCTGGCTATCAAGCCGTGACACTGACTGGTGTACTGGTTTGGTTACATAAGTCTGGCTTCCAAGCCCTGATACTGAATTGTGTAATGGTGGGGTTATAGAAGTCTGGCTACCAAGCCATGTCACTGACTTGTGTAATGGTGGGGTTATATAAGTATGACTGTCAAGCCCTGGCACTGACTTGTGTAATGGGGGGATTATATAAGTCTGACTACCAAGCCTTGTCACTGACTTGTGCAATGGTGGGATAACATAAGTCTGGCTATCAAGCCGTGACACTGACTGGTGTACTGGTTTGGTTACATAAGTCTGGCTTCCAAGCCCTGACACTGACTTGTGCAATGGTGGGGTTATAGAAGTCTGGTTACCAAGCCATGTCACTGACCTGTGTAATAGTGAAGTTATATAAGTCTGACTACTAAGCCCTGACACTGACTTGTGCAATGGTGGGGTTATAGAAGTCTGGTTACCAAGCCCTGACACTGACCTGTGTAATTGGGTAGTTATATAAGTCTGACTACCAAGCCCTGACACTGACTTGTGTAATGGTGGAGTTATATAAGTCTGGCTACCAAGCCCTGTCACTGACTTGTGTAATAGTGGGATCATATAAGTATGGCTACCAAGCCCTGTCACTAACTTGTGTAATAGTGGGATTATATAAGTCTGTCTATCAAGACCTGACACTGACTTGTGTAATGGTGGGGTTATATAAGTATGGCTGTCAAGCCCTGGCACTGACTTGTGTAATGGTGGGATTATATAAGTATGGCTACCAAGCCCTGTCACTAACTTGTGTAATGGTGGGGTTATAGAAGTCTGACTACCAAGCCCTGTCGAGGACTTGTGTAATAGTGGAGTTATATAAGTCTGGTTATCAAGCCCTGACACTGACTTGTGTAATGGTGGGTTATATAAGTCTGGCTACAAAGCCCTGACACTGATTTGTGTAATGATAGGATTATATAAGTCTGGCTTCCAAGCTCTGTCACTGATTTGTGTAATGGAAGGATTATATATAAGTCTGACTACCAAGCCCTGTCACAGTATTGTGTAATGGTGGGGTTATATAAGTCTGGCTATCAAGACCTGACACTGACTTGTGTAATGGTGGGGTTATATAAGTATGGCTGTCAATCCCTGACACTGACTTGTGTAATGGTGGGGTTATATAAGTCTGTCTACAAAGCCCTGACACTGACTGGTGTAATGGTTGGGTTACATAAGTCTGGCTTTCAAGCCCTGACACTGGCTTGTGTAATGGTGGGGTTATATAAGTCTGGCTACCAAGCCCTGTCACTGACTTGTGTAATGGTGGGGTTATATAAGTCTGTCTACAAAGCCGTGACACTGACCTGTGTAATGGTGGGGTTAGATAAGTCTGGCTACTAAGCCCTGACACTGACCTGTGTAATGGTGGAGTTATATAAGTCTGCCTACCAAGCCCTGACACTGACTTGTGTAATGTTGGGATTATATAAGTCTGGCTACCAAGCCATGTCACTGACGTGTGTAATGGTGGGGTTATACAAGTCGGGCTACCAGCCCTGACACTGACTTGTGTAATGTTGGGTTTATATAAGTCTGGTTACCAAGCCATGTCACTGACTTGGGTAATGGTGGGATTATATAAGGCTGGCTACCAAGCCATGTCACTGCCTTGTGAAATGGGGGGGTTATACAAGTCTGGCTACCAGCCCTGACACTGACTTGTGTAATACTAAGCCCTATCACTGACTTGTGTAATGGTGGGATTATATAAGTCTGGGTACCAAGCCCTGTCACTGACTTGTGTAATGGATGGATTATATAAGTCTGGCCACCAAGCCCTGTCACTGACTTGTGTAATGGTGGGGTTATACAAGTCTGGCTACCAAGCCCTGACACTGACTGGTGTAATGGTTGGGTTACATAAGTCTGGATTTCAAGCCCTGGCACTGGCTTGTGTAATGGTGGGGTTATAGAAGTCTGGCTACCAAGCCCTGTCACTGACTTGTGTAATGGTGGGGTTATATAAGTCTGTCTACAAAGCCGTGACACTGACCTGTGTAATGGTGGGGTTATATAAGTCTGGCTACTAAGCCCTGACACTGACCTGTGTAATGGTGGAGTTATATAAGTCTGCCTACCAAGCCCTGACACTGACCTGTGTAATGTTGGGGTTATATAAGTCTGCCTATCAAGCCCTGACACTGACCTGTGTAATGGTGGGGTTATATAAGTCAGGCTACCGAGCCCTGTCACTCGCTTGTGTAATGGTGGGGTTACATAAGTCTAGCTTCCAAGCCCTGACACTTAATTATGTAATGGTGGGGTTATAGAAGTCTGGCTACCAAGCCCTGTCAATAACTTGTGTAATAATGGGGTTATATAAGTCTGGCTTCCAAGCCTTGACACTGACTTGTGTAATGGTCGTGTTATAGAAGTGTGGCTACCAAGCCCTGTCAATCACTTGTGTAATAGTGGAGTGATATAAGTCTGCCTATCAAGCCCTGACACTAATTTGTGTAACGATGGGGTTATATAAGTCTGGCTACAAAGGCCTGACACTGACTTGTGTAATGGTGGAGTTATATCAGTCTGACTACCAAGCCCTGACACTGACCTGTGTAATGGGGTAGTTATATAAGTCTGGCTACCAAGCCCTGTCACTGACTTGTGTTAGATGGGATTACATAAGTCTGGCTACCAAGCCCTGTCACTGACTTGTGTAAGGTGGGGTAATATAAGTCTGACTATCAAGCCATGTCACTGACCTGTGTAATGGTGGGGTTATATTATTCTGACTATCAAGCCCTGACACTAATTTGTGTAACGATGGGGTTATATAAGTCTGGCTACCAAGCAATGGTGGGATTATATAAGTATGGCTACCAAGACCTGTCACTAACTTGTGTAATGGTGGGGTTATATAAGTCTGGCTACAAAGCCCTGACACTGACTTGTGTTAGGTGGGATTACATAAGTCTGGCTACCAAGCCCTGTAACTGACTTGTGTAAGGTGGGGTAAAATAAGTCTGACTATCAAGCCATGTCACTGACCTGTGTAATGGTGGGGTTATATTAGTCTGACTATCAAGCCCTGACACTGACTTGTGTAATGGTTGGGTTATATAAGTCTGGCTATCAAGCCCTGACACTGACTTGTGTAATGGTTGGGTTATATAAGTCTGGCTATCAAGCCCTGACACTGACTTGTGTAATGGTTGGGTTATATAAGTCTGGCTATCAAGCCCTGACACTGACTTGTGTAATGGTGGGGTTATATAAGTCTGGCTACCAAGCCCTGACACTGACTTGTGTAATGGTGGGATTATATAAGTCTGGCCACCAAGCCCTATCACTGACTTGTGTAATGGTGGGATTATATAAGTCTGGCTACCGAGCCTTGTTACTGACCTGTGTAATGGAAGGGTTATATAAGTCTGACTACCAAGCCCTGACACTGAATTGTGTAATGGTGGGATTATATAAGTCTGGCCACCAAGCCCTAACACTGACTTGTGTAATGGTGGGATTATATAAGTCTTGGTACCAAGCCCTATCACTGACTTTTGTAATGGTGGGATTATATAAGTCTGGCTACCGAGCCTTGTTACTGACCTGTGTAATGGAAGGGTTATATAAGTCTGACTACCAAGCCCTGACACTGA